GGCTGGGGATTCGAACCCGCCACCTTAGGTGTACGTGGCTGGCGCCTTAGCCGGTTGAGCCACAGGCGCCGAGCCACTTGTGGAATATTCTAATGTTGCTCTTTTAGAACTTACTATAAAACAGAGAAAGAAGGAATTATACAATGTATTTGTCAAGATTTAAAGAAAATAAATTTGGCTCGGCACCTGTGGCTCAAGTAGCTAAGGTGCCAGCCATATACCCCCAAGGTGGCAGGTTCAAATCCAGCCCTGGCCTGCCAAACAACAATGACAGCTACAACCAAAAACTAGCCAGGTGTTGTGGCGGGCACCTGTGGTCACAGCTACTTGGGAGGCTGAGGCAGGAGACTTGCTTGAGCCCAGGAGTTGGAGATTGCTGTGAGCTGTGATGCCGTTGCACTCTACCTAGGGGGATAGCTTGAGGCTCTGTCTCAAAAAAAAAAAAAAAGAAAAGAAAATGAATTCAATTTTAAATGATAAGAAACATTTTAATTGTATCTAGCTGAAGTTACAAGCATATACTACACATAAATTTTATTACACAAAAGTCAGTGGTATATTTTATATATATATTTTTACATATAATATATATTTTGAACTACATCAAAACAATTACATTGTTGTAAAAGTTTCCGATCAAACAAAAATTAATGACTTAATGGTGAATAACAATACTATCCTAAACAAGAAAGGATACACTTCATAACCCCTTCCCCCCACTTTTGGCACAAATTAAATATACGAGACAAGACTATCAAGTTAACATCAGATGTTCTCCCTGTTCTTCAATTGACATTGATTGCATATACTTATTTAGTAAATCTTCTTCCTTTTTTTCTTCACTCATGTATGAGTCACAACCATTTGAAGAAACTGAAGGAAAAATAAAGAGTTTATAATGTCTGTTTTGGAAATAAAGTTTTAAGAACAACTTTCAAAATGATCTAGGTTATTAATAAGCCTGTAGCAAAAACAAATTTTCAAGACTCTCAGTCACCTCCACATTCCCCAAACTTCTAACTCTTTAAAAGAAGATATGCACAAGGCCAGGCATAGTGGCTCATGCCTGTAATCCTAGTACTTTGGACAGGGTGTGGGGGGAGGGTAGGGACAGAGGGATTCTTTCTTTCTTTCTTTTTTTTGAGGTAGAGTCTCAAGCTGTTTCCCTGGGTAGAGTACCATGGCATCATAGCTCACAGCAACCTCCAACTCTTGGGCTCACTCGATCAATCCTCTTCCCTCAGTTGTTCTATTTTTAGTAGAGACAGGGTCTTGCTTTTGCTCGGGCTGGTCTTGAACCCGTGAGCTCAAGCAATCCATTCACCTTGGCCTCCCAGAGTGCTAGGATTACAGGAGCCACCACGCCCAGCCCAGAAGGACTTCTTGAGGCCAAGAGTTTGAGACCAGCCTGAGCAGGAGGAAGACCCTGTCTCCACAAAAAATGGAAAAGTTAGCTGGGCATGGTGGCATGCACCTGTACTCCCAGCTACTCAGAGGAGGCAGAGGCTGAGGCAGGAGAATTGCTTGAGCCCTGGAGGTTGATGTTGTAATGAGCTATGACAATGTCACCACACTCTAGCAAGATGGTGTCTCAAAAATAAATAATATATGCAGTACTGTGTTTTAGCCAAGTTGCTTGCTATATAGCAAATTTTCTATTACTATGTTCCTAGCTGATTTTCAATATCTTTTGGTTAGGGCAGTGGTTCTCAACCTTCTTAATGCCGCGAGCCTTTAATACAGTTCCTGTGGGTCACGACAGCGATTTTTGAGAACCGCTGGGTTAGGGGGACATGAAAGCAGTCTGTTACGTATTCACTTATCTCTCCATTTTCCTTTAGTTCTTTTTTATTTCTTCTGTTGAGTACCACAAAGCCTTTTTCCTTACTTGGGCACTTCCTCTAACTGCTCTTTTGGGAAACAGACTTACCTTCTCTGCTACCCTTTCCCTCATTTCTTGGCCAGTCATATTTAGGGCAGACCTGGGTGACACTGTCATACAATGATGGGATATTGATTCAGAAGGCTTAACCTTTCTACTTCCTACCCATGTCCTTAACCACTATAATAATAACTAAGAAATTATTTAACTTAATCCTTTCCACTTTATCAATTTTGAGGAATACTTCTGATTGTCAGTCTTTCTTCCTGTTTTGTTCATTTTGCAGTATTCTATACTGTGGCAGAAGGACCCCTTATGCTGATCCTTCCAAAGTCTGGATTTGTTTGAGTTGCATGAGTTAAATTTTTTTTTTTTTTTTTTT